TATATTTATATATATGTTCATGCTTATCTTTTTGTTCTGATTATTCAAAGTATATCTAAGTTGTTTTACATGCTTTGCTATCTCCTTCTCTCTTTCTACTATTTTATATTCACTTAAGTTAATCCATGACTAGATCATGTTAATTGTCTTCATGGATTGAACATATCTTACCTTTTTTTTATTCAATTGATTAGATAAGTTCTTAAATTTCAATTAATTTTACAAAATCTATTTCAACAAAAAGTATCATAAGCAAATTAACTTTTCTTTTCAAAACTCATATGATTTTCCTAAAAAATATTTACACAAATCACCTCGCACGAACAGACAATCAATCATCGGGCACGACATCGACATGCAAATGAATGAACATGTTCTTATGATAATTGTCCTACCAATCAATATATGTTATCATGGAAATTTTGAATTATCTCTTCATAATATGAGAATTTACAAACATACCATTATAATTCCTATGATAATTGAAAATATTATGAGAAAACGATAGTAATAAAACAAAAAAATTGGACCTAGAAAAATCGATATATAGAAAACAGTGAAACACATAGATTTACGTGGTTTGACAAATTATCTACGTCCACGGAGCTGCAGAGGATTTTATTAGCTTAAGGATTACACCCGTCGATCACCTATACGATTACTAGAAAACGTTCTCTCTCTCCTCTCCTCCTCATCCTCTCTCTCTCTCTACCCGAGAGCTTCAAACCGAAGCACACTGAAAGAAGAACCTGGAAAATTACCAATGACGAAGAGAGATGCCTGGGAAACCAAATCTCGGGAGAAGTTACAAGAGGAGCTAACATGTCTATTTATTAATTTCATCATGTCATTAGACCCATTAATGAATTAATTAAATAATTAATGAATCTCATTAATTATTTCTTTTTCTCTCCTGTAGCAAATCATAGAAAGAATTAAAAATAATTAATTTCGAGTGTCAAATCCAATTTATTATCAAACATGAGAAAATGTTAATTTGAGGAGCCGATCGTCGAATCCAATTTGTTGTCAAACATGAGAAAATGTTAATTTGAGGAGCCGATCAATTTCCATATTCATCAAATGTTATTTTGCATGCTTATTTTATCCACGCATGCCAATCCATGACTAGATCATGTTAATCGCCTTCATGGATAGAACATTTCTTAGCAATATGAATGTTCCCAATCTTCAGAGTTTATCTATTTTGTTATTTATTATTATAATTCCGACCAATTGCACGTTAGCATTTGTCCGGTTATTGTCTGTAAATGACATTAAGCCAACAGTTGTGTTTTTCAGTCCCATCACACAATGGCCGAGAAATTCCAATTATCGCTTAATATATAATACAAGAAATTTACATCCTTACCAATAATTCATTGTATTTACATATCTAACACCCAAAATTTAATAACATATTCGCATGCAAGTAAATTTTGGGTGGCATGCATGTAAGTATGAATGTTTAAATGTTAGATTTATAAACACATAAAAATTATGTGGTATGTATGTGACGAGAAATTATTCCATACGGAGCACTTACGCAGCTCTGCATACGGACTTCCGGTAATATGCTGCAACGTGGAGGTTATTACGAGGTTATTGAAGTGAAACATCAGAGATTGTTGAAGGGTTATTGAGGTGTTATTATGAGATTATTGTAGAGGTTATGCCGGATACGGGGATTATTAGGGTTTTATTAGAGTGTTATTATGAGATTATTGCGGAGTGTAACAATGTAAATTATTAAGAGTGTAACAACGGTGGTTATTGAGAGGTTATTGCGGCGTTATTAAAGTTAATGCTCTATTAACCCCCTAATAACCTTCGCAGTTCGATTTCAATAATCTCCGCAAGGAGATCGGCCCAATATAGCACACATGACCGTATATTATTGGAGTCCACACATAATACTACATATGTGCTCCGTATCTAATAATTTCTATTATGTAACAACCCCAAGAACATTTGTTTAATTTTATAATAGATTTATTTGGAATGTTGAGGATATTTGTTTATTATTTTATAATGCTATATAGACAATATTCACGTGCATGCATGGCAGATAGAATAATGCTCTTATCATAAGGATGTCTCATGCCTTGAAAAGAGAATCTAATATGCGACTAATATATGAGCGGCTACGATCAGGAGAGAAATATTCTGAAAATTTGCAATTTATATATAGCCTGAGCATCATATAGGCTTCTCTTCGAGGCTTAAACCCTAAGAACAAGATAATATATCATATTTTGGTTGATACAGATTAGTTGCGACCAAGCATGTGCTAAGAATATATTGACGTCTAGCTGCTTGATAATTATGTGTGTGTGTGTGTGTGTGTGTGTGTGTGTGTGTGTGTGTGTGTGTGTGTGTGCGTGTGTGGGGGGGGGGGGG